CTCGTGACTTGCGATATTCTTGGTGCATGAAAGTAAAGGAACAATTTCCGTTTCACGCATTCGATCTCTAGTGTTGTAACCACAAACTCCGCCAATAAGCGACTTGAACGAACAACAACCTTCTATTTTTTATGTAACAAAGTTGACCGTGTAAGTTGGTGTATTTGTGAAAAACAGTCCGAAACCCCGCCTCTAAGCGAGCGATGGGCTTCGTGTAATTACCATAAACCAGGTTTTGTTTACTTAGGCTTACTACAGGTGCCAAATTTAGCTTTTCAACGAGTATTAGCCAAAGGCCCGATCTCCGCAACTTACATGTAAGAGATTTCGATGTTCACGACAACAAAAAAGCTTAGCAGTAGTATTGTCTTTTTACTTTCCCCTTCCCCTACCCCCTAAAAAATAACTTTCCATTGTATGATTTGCATTGCGTGACGACTCTCCGTATACAAAACTACGTTGACTGCAACATATGTGAAGTGCTACTAAGCATCGATCAGATCTACTGCACCACAAACCGAATAACACTCACAGTCAACTGAATCGCTGGATAAGATGCCACAGTGCAGAAAGATGTCAAACGTTTTATAACGAAGGTTGGTGACAGTTCGCAGATTGACAGGCAGTTTCATCGGACGTTATAAATACGACGAGCGACAAGATAACCGCAGTAAAATGGTCTTTGGATCTTTCTTCTAAGGCAAATGAGGTAAGAGCATTTGGAAATGTGTACCCATGTGCATTTTCCGGCGTCATATGGGTTGAATTATATTAAAGTATGTGTGTGACTCGCGACTGGAATGTTGACCGCGAAAGGTCAAATGACTGCATTTTAACGGACTTTGAAAAGCTTTCGTATCGCTCTCATTCATTTGCCCAAAGAAATTTTTACAGTAATATTTAGAACATCTTTTCGTTATTATATCGCCCAAAGCTTAATCCATTTGAAGGTTTAGCACATGCTGAAAATTAACTTTGCTCACAAAGTACTTTTACTGATGAGAAATGTATGCTTTCGAAATTAAATTATTTTACACTCAAAGAGAAACGCAGTGTATACAAAAATCGTTTTGTGAGGTCTTATGAGGTTGAAAAAGAAGATTTGAAAGTTAAAAAGACGAGATTGTGATTCATTTTTGAATGCGAAGCCCTCAAACTTGTGCAATAATTTGCTTCTAAAAATGTCGATTTTAACGGAACTTTGTTATTTGTATTTTCTCTGAAATAAAAAGATATTTTGCGAAAAAAAGTATCCAGTGATTTTAGTTATAGTCTAGCCTATCTAATATTAAAATAAGAAAGAAATCGAATTTTTCACTCTTGCCGCGAAATTTAGAATTTGTCTGATTTTTACAGACAAGCGCTCTTAAGATTTTTGGTTCAAATCTCATGTTTCTGAGAGAGCTGACAGGACGGAGAGACTTGAGTGATGAAAATCTTGCATTTGGAATAGAATCTTTTGAGTTATTTGTTTACGCAAGGGTACGGTGCATTGAATGCAGTAGATCCTGGCAAAGCACCGCAGGTTGTAAAAGGTGTGATTCACCAGAGCTCGGATCACTCGGAGTTCTGGAAAATTTTGGCGATCAAGGCAACTGACAAAGGTACCCGTGAGCTATCGGTGCAATTTCTTGGCGATAATTTTTGGGTAAAGGGTTAAATCTCTTCTCGTCCTGGAAAAGATGGCGTTTGGGCAAGACGTCTATGGACAAATAGTTGAATATATTTGCAATATCTATTTACTAGGAGATTATAAATAGTTTGTAATCTCTTGCTTCTTACTGAAATTGAACCAGAGTAAAAATAATAATTTCCAAACGTTCAATATCTAAACTGTATCACGATACGATAACATGCGAAATTCTCCAATACATAATGTCTCCAATATATAATGTCATCAGCTTCACCGCCACAGTTTCATACGAGTTGTTGTTCTTATTGTACAATATTTTCAACGACCTGAGTCACTAAAAATTCAAAATTTTTCCCTCCGAGTAGTGATAAATCTCTTTGAAAAAATATTTTCCGTTCGTTTGTAGATTTTTACGGAGTTTTGATTTAACACATACCTACCTCTTCAATTTAAAAAAAAATCAAACCTGAATAACAATACAAATTCCCAATTTTTTTATGGTTTAACTGTTAATTGATACGTTAAGTTACCTAATAAACTTACTGTGTATTTAGGAACCTCAAGCAAACTAAGAGGGCTACGAGGACGTGGCAATACAAAAAATTAAACGGGCAAAACAATAGCTTAGCGCGTGCATTTTAGAACTTTGTACATTTCTAAGCCGTCCTCTGTATGACCACAACGTGAAATAACCAAAGTTTGCATGGTCTGAGAACAGAACCGATGTGGCAAATGATTTCAGTTTCCATTTGGAACTCAATGCGGTAAGGGACGGTAAACACATCCAGTCTTTTGCAAAATTCTAACTACAACATAAATTCATTTTTTAATCGACACCTTCTTCGGCGTTTCCGTCCTAACTGCAGGGCGTGAAATTAATATTTTTCAGATAGCCACTTGGCTCCTAAATTCTTCAAAGTGGTAGCCAATTCAAAAAAAGGTGGTCGCCTTTTTCAAAGACAAACAAAAGCTTTTTAGATAGACCCTCCAAAATTAAGGGCCTGTTCACATGGAGGTAGGGGAACCCAGGTAGGTGAGGTAACCCGCCTAGCCGTGGTCGAAAAATAGAACGCGTTTACATGCAATCTTACAACCCAAGGGTGCTGGGGTGAGGTTTCTTGAGGTTGTTGTTGCGCTTGCAATTAAGGAGTTTGAGTAGAGGCGTCCCAAGCTCACATCTCGAAAAAGACGAAAGATTAATTCTCGGACACATGTATTTATTTATGAAGGCGTCACGAGTTGTGTTACGCGGTGTTTGGTTTTGCGAGAAACCCTTGATTGTCACCCCGGCTGACAGGGTTACCCTACCTGGCAAACCGGGCAACCCGCCTAGGCGGGTCACCTCACCTATCGTGTAAACGTGATCAAAATAAAATAAGAAATTGTGTGGACAGGCGGGTTACCCCACCTAGGCAGGTTACCTCACCTACCTGGGGTCCCCCACCTCCATGTATACTGGCCCTAAGTTAGGGAAAGGATCTTTAACGTGCTACAAAGTGGACACTAGGATGGATGACATACAACGTTCAAGCTCATTTAAATTCAAGATGGTGTCTAAATTCAAGTTAAGTGCATGTGCTGCCACTGGAAACAAAATTAACGAGGAAGTTTGCCGCGGATTTATCTGTATCTTTGCAAATCTTTTTAATTCGATATATCTCTTGGCAGGGTTACGATGAAACAATCTAATCCGGCGGCGCCAATTTGGCGACTAATCTTCAGGATTTGGTTGCTAAAGTGAAAAATTTAGTCGCATTGGCGCCTGTATTAGGCACAATTTCACGCCCTTAGGGGGTGAGGGTGGGGGCTGCACGTTGATGACACAAGGTCATACATCGGGAGCGCAAATTGATGTGTAAGTAGACGATGAATGCAATGCAAAATACAGATACTTCTTTGTAGTGATATAAATTTGTTGACGAGAACAGAAATACAGAGAAATTGTTTACTAGCACCAAACACGTCAGAGCTTGTGTCTTTGCAATCAAAACGTTTAAAAGTTCCAAGTCCGTAAGCTCCCCATTTGAACTTTATGACAAACTAACCATTGAGAGAAAAAAATCGCACATCACATAACCTTTATGTACAGTATTTAAATGTAATTAAAACCACTCGTACTTGTTAAAAGTTTCCAGAGCATTGTGGAGACCTAGATTAGAAATCAAGTCATATTTGGTAGCGGAGCATTATTACACGTGCTTTTCAAACAAATTATATATTTTCCCATTCTGATAGGCTCCGGCCTCTCTAATAAACGATATACGTCATCCTTTGGTGAAATACAACCCCCAACGGAAATCTTCCCACATCTACCATGGAAACTGGTTTAAGATACTACCACTGTGATCATGGAGGATGATGAAAGGAAAATGAAGGAGACATATATTCTCACATATTCCATCGGGAAAGACATCCGGGGTTTATCTTAGAATTTCGCAATATTAAACTAAAGAGAAAATCTGGTAGAAAAAGAAAGAGAAACAACCAGGACGACAAGTATAAATATTTTATTTCTCAGGCCCTGTATACAAACAACTTCAACAGCGGAAGCATAAGGAATAAGAGTTTAATGAATGAGTTATTTCTTGATCGGAATAGATTTCATTTTTGAGTGTAATTCACGCCTTTTCCACGCTTTGACCACGTCTAAGAAAGGCCCCCTGGCCCAACGGATAAGGCATCTGACTACGAATCTGGAGATTCCAGGTTCAAATCCTGGCGGGGTCGCTGTTATTTGAGTAAACAAACTTTGTATCCAATGGATTTCTTTTATTTTTTTAAGTCACCTTTCACCAAGTTATGAGGCCAGATACCACATATGGGGCGTAGTTATGTTTGCTACCGTAGCATTACTGCATTTGCTATCAAAAAGTATTGAACGTTTATCGAATATTCTCCGGCTTCTCTGATATAGGTCATCCTTTAGTAAAATGCAACCACTCCCAGTTGAGTTATGATGCTTGTCACATTTGCTTGTTTTCCTAAGTAATAAGAAGTCAACTTATATTAAACCTCAACACAAGTGAAAACTAAAGCATTCCTGGTTATTTTTTCCTGTAGATGCAGCAAGCCATGATATCAGCTCGGAAAGTGTGCTTTGTTACTGATGTGCATTGCTGAATTGCAAGGAGCTAGCGTATTAGTTTCGTCGTGATATGCCAAGGGATCAGCTACCTGGCAAGTATTTCAAGATTCTGATTTTTTTCATCACTTAAATGATTACATGCAGGCAGGATTGGTAGACTCAAAATTCGATCACCAACTTAACAAAACTAGGACAAAATTACAGAGACAAGATACCCATTGGTTAAACGTATTCATAAGTGAAAACATAGTCACTGTCACATAGCATGCTATTTAGAGCGCTTTGCAATGGAAAGTCGTGAAACCAAAACCAAAGTTATCCAGGCGGCCAATCAGACGAAAGGAGAAAACCTTTAAGAGCCAATGAAAACTTAAAATAAAAGCAATCAAACGGCCTGAAGGGCGGGGAAAACGCGGACGACCATTTCGTGATTGGTTTTAGTTTTGCGTCTGATTGGTTGAGAGAATGGTGGCAGTTCTCAGGACCAATCACAAAGCGATGTCGGATTACTTTCGACACCCAACTTTAAAGGTAAATACTATTGCTTTGATACATCGTCGAAGTACAATCATGATACGCTAGCTATCCAGTTGGTGCTGAAAACCAATTACGTTCTAGAATTTGATATCGATTTGATTACAGACGAGGACATTATGTTAAACCCAAAGGTAACCCTTTGTGCGCATGTCCTTTCTCACCACAGCGACAGTGCATAGACGTGCTGATTGTTATTGGAGTAAAAATTGCCGAACTCAGAGGACCAAACCACTTCATGCAAGGTAGGGCTCTAGCTAGCAATAGTCATACTAAGTTATGCTCTCATTTCAGTGTCTGGTTGGAGGAAAAAGTGTGCTCTGTATTCTTTTTGTTTTCAGTCGCTTCAATCACATTTGTGAATAGACAAGATTTATATAGCTGAGATTATCTCCATCAGCAAGAAGTTTGCCCAACAGTTTGCCGGTACCTATCATAATGCAAACATATCCCGGCATACTTTTTCAAACTGATATTATCTTCGAAACTATACACCTCATTTGCATCTCATGTTTATTTGAATAAAAACGAGACAAACAACTCTGACAAATTTGGTTAGCACTCACCAAATAATTATCAAATATGACAATGTTACATACATATTTACAAAAGCTTTAAGAAATGACGTTCGGAAAGTTGAAATCTTTATACCTTTACACATAGTTGTTTGATTTATTTTCTTACAAAAGTTTTCAAAAGACAATGAAATATAATGAACTCAAAGTAACAAACGACGCCCAGCTTTGAAGTTATTGAAGAATTAAAAAGATAAAAGACTGTGTCGCCCACATTGACGATGATCTGTTGAATAACAAAGAGAATCCGAGTCAATGTTACGATTTTGAGTCAAACGAAAGAAAAGGTAGTACTACAGTTAACACAATGCTAATTATTGACAGGTTTATTTTTGGCATTTGATTTACTGAACAGCACTACACCTACTTCCGTATATTGTCTTACTGGCCAACACCTTACAAGGTCTTACGACAATGTTTGAACTCAGGGAGCTTATAACAGGCATTTTACAGTTTACTATTTTTTTCCCATTGGAAACAGTGCTTGACAGAACAGGATCTAATGGGTGATGGTAAGAATATGGACTCCCCAGACAGTTAAAAAAAGATTGGGCGAGGACTTTGCGAAAGTACCAAAGCTGAGAGGTACATTGACAGTTCTAATTGTCTAACTGGTTCGTCACTAAAACTAAATATGTGCAATCGTATTTCACAAGTTTTCTTATTCATACCTTTAGCTGGCTCAGTGGAGGCCTTTACATTTGATCTGACATTCTTCATGGCCTCAAGATCATTCGCTTTGACTGGAACGTTTGTAACTTCAAGATATCCAGCGTTTCCCAATAGAGTGTCAAACCATGATGGTTGAAGGTCAAAATAATCTTTGCCTAGATAAAAGATAAATCAATTTTTGTTTTAGTTATGATGGCAATGCTGAGAATTTCGTTTAAGCATAAAGATACCTGGGATTTTTAGCTTACCAAACCAAAGTGAGTTAAATTGAGCGAGACACTTTTCTAAACCGCCGCATAAACCGTGATCTTGAGCAAGGAAGCAAGCTGACTCTTTTTAATTAAATTACCTCCTCCGAAAAAGGGTTGATCTGACTGAATAAGTCACGAGTCTTTAATGCAGAAGAAATCGTCACAGTTTGAGCTTAAACAAAGCTGGAAGCAGGGATGTGTGTTCGTTTTGTAACGCCTCTAGCTATCTTGGAAAAGAAGTTCACCTTAATACCAGACGGGTTTGTCACTTTCAGAATACACTACTTTGTATAGATGTGGACTATCTCTTATATAGAATGGTATTTTACAATTTTCCATCTTCATACCTTTAGCTGGCTCAGCTGTGGGGGCCTTTGAATTTGATTTAGCATTCTTCATGGCTTCAAGATCTTTTCCTTTAACTGGAACGTTTTCAACTTGAAGACATCCAGCGTTTTGGGATAGAGTGTCAAACCATGACGGTTGAAGGTCAAAATAATCTTTGCCTAGATAAAAGATAAATTAAGTTTTGTTTTATGATTGCAATGTAGAGAATTTCGTTTCCACATAAAGATACCAAAGATTGGCTTACCGAACCAAAAGTGAATTAATTTCAGCGAAACACTTTTTCTGAACCGCCGCAAAAACCGTGACCTTGAGCACTCGATAAAAGAACAAGCTAAGTCTTCAATTAAAGCTACCTCCTCTGAAAAATGATTGATCTGAGTGGGTAAGTAACGAGTCTTGAATGCAGCAGAAATCATCACAGTTTGAGCTTGAACAAAGTTGGAAGCAGGGATATGTGTTCGTTTTTACGCCTTAAGCTTTCTTGGAAAATAAGTTCAGCATAATACCAGAGGAATCTGTGTTATTTTTGTATGATGTAACACCTTATGAAGTTGCTCACTGAATTTGATTCAGGCGAGTACATTGCAAAACTACTAAAGCTGAAGGGTACATTGACAATTCTAATTGGCTTAATAGGTTCTTCACGCTCAGAAGACAGTACTTCGCACAGATGTGGACTATCACCTATGTAGAATCGTATTTTAAAGTTTCCATCTACATACCTTTCTTCATGGCTTCAAGATCTTTTGCTTTAAGTGGAACGTTTTCAACCTGAAGACATCCAAAGTTTTTTGATAAAGTGTCAAACCATGATGGTTGATGGTCAAAATAATCTTTGCCTAGATAAAGGATAATTAAAAAATCAAAGCCGATGTATGGAAGAACATGTTATCAATCCTAAGTATCTTACTGCTTGTGACTCATAAGACTACACTGCTTTTGCGCAGATGTGGACTGTAGAAGAATCGTATTTTACTAGTTTTCTTCTCCATACCTGTAGCTCGCTCAGTGGAGGCCCTTGAAGTTGATTTAACATTCCTCATGGTTTCAAGGTCTTTCGCTGTAACTGGAAATTTTTCAACTTTAAAACATCCACCTTTGCTTGATGGAGTGTCAAACCATGATGGTTGAAGGTCAAAGTAAACTTTGCCTGGTTGAGAAAAAAAGGAAAGAAAAAGAAGAGATGAAAATCAAAGTGAAGAACTCTCAATAAAGTCAAAAGATTATAAAAAAGTTGTAAGGATAAAGTCTTTCTTCTTGTCTTAAGGATGGAAAATGGTATTTTCAAGTTGTGCCCATTGTAAAATGGCCAACGTTCTTTTAAATCAGGCCCGTAAATGACCGTTTCGTCGCTTTTGAGTATGTTTTTATCTTCCCTAGCTTGTGAAAGAACCGATTTATTTTCAATGAAAGGTGATGCAAAACCCTCTTTCCTCTGCTACTACGTTCCCTAACGCTTCCCTAGACCATAAAATGAGTTCATAAAGACAAGGCAGTCGAATCAACCGCGTTATCACCACTCAGTTGATTCGACGCCATCCCACTTTACATACTCACAATTAAATGTTTGTGGTTTGCTTCGGGAATCTTCTGCCTCTGTTTTATTCTTCTTGACAGGAAAATTAAGGCCACACTCGAGCTCATCAATGTTCTTCCTTACCTGCTGTAGCTTTTCATCTATTGATGCAATGTGCTTGACAAAATCAGATTGAGTTCTTTGCACAGTTTGTTTTAGCTGGGACAGTTTTTCTTTGAGATCAGAGATGTCTTTGTCTCTCCCAAAGAGAGTTTGCTTTAAAAAGGCGATCTCCTTCTCTTTAGCTGTTAAAACACATACGAATATTTCGAGTACTTAAAAGAAAAGATTGTACAAATGCAAGATTGAACAGATTCAAGGTCTACATAAAACACAAAAACCCGAACTATTTATGACGGAACGAGAAGCAGTGGGGAGGGGGTAAACGACTGGACAACGGTGTTATCAGTTGAGCATCGGCAACTCTTGGTAAAATGGCTCCCTAGTCCGCGCGCACTTTTCTTTTCATGCATGCGTGGCCACATAAAACTAACCGTTAATTTCTGTTTCAAGGTAGATCATCCTTTACGGATAACGATTAGTTCCTTTCCATCGTTTAAGAGAAAATTTTTACGATGAATTTTTTTACGACCAACAGTTAAAACTCGTCAATGTCATACGCCTAACAGCTAATTTTCTTTTTTGTTTTACTTCGATTAAGTGCCTTCCTTCTGATAATTTCTCCTCGTTTTTCAAGCCGAAATTTTGAATAGGCATCCGGGCGCCGATTCGAGGAAATGCGGTGACTGATCGAGTTTGAGCAAAAGCTCAGAAATGACCCTTTGCATAGAACGAAAAGAATGCCAATATTTGTAGGTACGTCTTTCATCCTATTTTAGGGCCTGTTTACATGGAGGTAGGGGACCCCAGATAGGTGATGTAACCCTGCTAGCCGTGGTCGAAAAATAGCTCCCATTTGCATACAATCTTTCAACCCCGGGATGCTGGGATTAAAAGTCTCGAGGTGGTAGTTGCGCTTGCATTTCGGGAGTTAATAAGTCATTTAACGGCGACTTGTGGTAAAACGTTGCCGAAAAAACAATTTATTTTCTTCTAAGACTCTCCCCAAAAACTCGACGCGTCTTCATTTCACGAACAAATTCATTCAACACTACCAGGGCTAGTAGATTAGTGAATCTTTTTTACTTAAAGCTAAAATGGGATTATGGTTCAGTCTTTCCCTTTGACACAAGTGAAATTTTGCGAAAGTGAACTGAATATTTCTTCTAAGCGATTAAGCCTTCTGTACACCTACAGGGGAATTACCGCGTTCTTTAGCAACCACTTCTTTTGTAAGCTCAGTGAGTTTAAATTCTAGTGTTTTTCGGCTTCTTTAAATGCTACCAACTACCAACGATATGTTTTGGTATTTACTTCTGTTACCCTTGGTAAAATTCTACAACGCTCTGGTGACATTTCTAGTGTTGTTTGTGCATGCACATGGACTATGGCATCTACAGCTTAATGCCTCTTGTTGTACTGGAATGCGTAGGTCGTAAAATTACAGAGAAAGCCTTAAGCTTCCTTGCCTTTAGCGTCGGATTTGCATCGTGTACTGGACAGTATTGCATGGACCAGTCATCATAGGTAAGTAGTACTTTGCGGGTAAGAATAATTTTTAGTTGATTGCTAGTCTTTGTTATTCAGAGCGCTGCAGAATGCGCGCTTCTCCGCCCGCTAGAAGATTTGAGACGGGTCGGGGGAGGGTCGATGACAGGTTTATTTTGCCTATGTTATGTTCTTTCATCAGATTTTAATGCAATTTTCAAGAGTGTGTCCGAAGTAATTGACAGGAGTACCTTGGTTTTTCCCCACTTTTCTTCAATCACCACAATCTCAACCAATCAGATATAAACTAAAACTAAGTCACTTGTGTTTTCCTGCATACTTGCGGCTAGTTACGGGAATAACTTTGAAGTCCCATTGGTAGCTTCTGATATTTGCTTTTGGTCTGATTAAAAATTTTGTTTACTATGGTATTGGTTCACGACCCTCGATCAAAAAGTACTTATCACGCTAATGCTCATGTCTCCCTGGATCTGTATTTGAAAATTCCACACAGTGAGAGAGAAGGGAAGTCAATATCAAATTTTGCCGTAAAGCTCCTACAGGCCATATGGGATATGTGGAAGAGAACGTTATTTATTATTTACATGTAACTAGTGTTCACATATTATTTGATGATGTAAAACGTCATTTACTGACCCTATTAAGGCCCCACTACAAGTAAGTCCATTCTGCATTAATCCACTTCATTTTCAAGTTTGTAAGTAAGTTGCCTGGCCTTTTCAAGTTCATCAGGATCTGCCAGGTATCCTCTGTTCTCAACACTTGTGTAATATTCCATTAACTTTGTATTAGGACGAGCTCTTCTTGGAATCCTTTTCCCTTCAAACTTTTCTGGTTTAAGTAACAAACGAAGGCCCAGTTTGTTGTAATAAGCACATGTGATTTTTCCACCCTGTCGTTCAATGGCTTTTATAGCAGTTTTTGATGCTTTGCTAACCTCGATATCAACTTTAGCTTGGAACCAAGTTGTACCCTGCCAGATAAAAACAAGTTTTGTGTCAAAAAGTACTTTTATTTCCTTGCATTTCCTTTGCAGCATTCAAATATCTTACTAGCTCTCACTTGATGGCACTTTAAGCTCTGGGCCAAGTTGTTCAAAGGCTGATTAGTGATAACCCAGGGTTAAATTTTAATCCAGGTTTCTATATTTCTCTGTTCAAAAGCCGTTTTGGAATAATTTTACCCATTGTTTTTAGAGCATTCAATTATCAAATTGTAGTCAAAAAGAAATAAACTGAATTTGCTCTTCAAGCTTTTAGATCTGAAATCAAATTTCTCTCTAACCTCAGGTTATCTTAACCCAGCTTTGAACAACTTGGCCCTGGTCAAAAACGTACCAATTATAATTCTTGGAGAGTGAAATAGATTCTTGAGATAGGAAAGAGGAAGGCATCACTTGTCTAAAGAAAATTCTATTAATCCTGCTGCAATCAAAATGCATCATTTTCATAAAAGTAGATGAGCTGAACTACTTACCCCTCCCAGCAATACAACCCCATCCTTTATTCTTCCACCAGTAACTCCTGATCTCCAAAGATGATACATGGTGATGGGAGCATTGGGGTTGAGACGGCCACTGTCTATGAAGAACTGAAGGCGGTTTAAGTTCAGAGGTCTATAATGCATTTTGTATCTGAAAGTCAAAATAGGACAAAGACAATAAATTAACTTTAATTTCAAATATCTAATTCCCCCCACTAGCTGCTGCACATTTCCTTGTTAATTAGTCATGAGAATTTGGTGCTAGATCAAGATAACAACTTAAACACATAAGTTTGAGTATTCTCATCAGCTGTTTGCTAAATAATGTATAAATATTGTAGGGAGAAGCTACAGGTTAATCACTTCTGGGAGTTAAAGGGTTAACAGATAGATATTAAATAAATGAAATATTACAAATTCTCCCTCTTTTAAAGTATGATATCAAAGCATACAGTGAAGTCATTTTTCCACATATCACTTGTGATTTGATGTAAATAACATTTTGGTAATCAAGAGATATATAGATACTAGACAGATAAATATTTAGATATATACCTTTAAATAGACAGATTGATAGATTGGTCGATAGATAGATAGATAGGTAGATAGTGTTATAAAACATTCAAAATTTGCAGCCTTTTAAGACTGCATTGCATGAAATTTATAAAATCGAGGTTTATAATTCTTATTCAGTCAGTTACCTTTTTATAGCATGTAGGAGCGTAATGAGCAATATCCATTGTTCATTTGTCGTTTAAATACTTTTTCAGCGCGAAATTAGTTAAGCACCTATTATTTTCATTCTGGTGATGCATTCTGGCAATTTCTCAAAAAAGTTCAAGTTATAACATAAAAATTCCATGAAGTATAAAATGAATATAAAAAACTTTGTATAAACATTGTAGCAATTGGACATGGATGGAATAAATGTGCTTGTGAAACAATTAGTGCACTTTTTTGGTAACAAAATTATTCTGGTTTCTAAGCTGTATCTACCTATGAAATTGAATGTTCTTGGGTAGTAGCAGATGATGGAGTTTAGGCACAGTATTAGATATGACTGAGTTAAAGAGTTAATTTATGACACTGTTCTTTGTGCCTATCTTTCAAAGATCAGATGTTATACAATGCTAGATTTTCAATTATATCATTCACTATTATCAGAAGAAGGGTTTTCTATGAAATTCTTGCTACCTCATCTACCCATATCACAGCTGTTTGGAAGTTACGATATGGATAAAAAATACTTAAAAGGAGAACTGAAGAGAATGAAGTAATAATTCTGCTTGCTGACATTTTGTGTAGAAGATCACCAAATTCTGTAGCCCTATACACCCTAACATCAGTATGCATATTCTCAATACTGTTCCCTATACATTTCCTAAGGTGCTGACGAGGAGAATTTGTTTAGCTATTAAGAACATATTTAGTTGTTGATGATTTCCTTTATTCTCAGGACCTTTCTGTTTAATTCAGGGGTGATATTGTATGTACTGTAGAAAGTAGATGCTAGTCACTCTTAGGGGGTCAAAAGCTTAATTAAGCAAAAAAATCTCTCACTGCAATTCCCAAAAATCATTTAACCTCTATTTTGGAAATATACAATGTTTACACGTACATGTTTTTGAAGCCATGCTTTGGGACACGAAGATAGAGAGGTGTTTGGCCTCCTTCAAATCCAAGCCTAGGTTTTGTATTTCGTTGACCCTGTCCTTTGTGGCCACGTCCAGAAGTCTTTCCACGTCCAGATCCTCTACCACGTCCTTTACGGTGTTGCTGTTTGATTGAATATGTTGCATGTACAAGAAAGGAGAAATTAGTAATGCATCCTAAGTTCAATATACAAATTCTTATAGTGTTCTCCGTATATTTCCAATGGCGCTGTCGCGGAAAATTTTCCAACAATCAAGAGCTTCTTTAGTTGGTGATCGTTTCTCTTTTTCTCGTGACCTTAGTTTGTGATGCTAGTCACTCTTTGGGATTAAGGGGTTAATTAAAATTGGATATTTTGTGGCTGCATGAGAAGTCCATGTAGAGAGCATTCTGACAGAGGTCTTGAAAATGTTGCCTAAGGGTACAAGCTGCGCAGAGGTGCTACACGAATATTGTACATCGATCACCTGACACAACCATGATATGTACTATACTACTCTTGAAGCGGCAAGTGCTTTTTATTTCACCCAGGACGGACATGTGGGCTAGTATGTCGTGTCTGATAATTTTGTAATACTACAGTATTCTAAAAGATTCTATTTCCAGCTATAGAAAAGTACCTACCGCTTTGAATGCTTCAGGTAAATCTCTTATGTTGTTCAAAGCTACGCGAGGATATTGCCTCAAAGCTGTTAGATTCTTCTTAATGTGACAAATCGCCATGTTGGCCGCCATGTTGTTCTTGATCGGTCCCAGATTACTCTCAAAGAAAGCGTGACACGGCCTCGAACCTAGTTCACACGTTCACACTAGTTTACACAAGATGGCGTCGAAATTTGAAGAAGGTCGCCATTGGGCACAAGTTATTTTCACCCATGACAGCAAACCTCCCGTCCTTATTGATAAAGAGCAGATCACACTGGGCAGGAAAGAAGGTACGAGAACAGGGTACAAAAGGCAATCGAATGTCAAAGATGATTATTTCACCCTTTAATATAATGTATACACGCCGGGAAATCGATCAGCTAGTTAGGTTCTTTATTCTGTATATTATATGGTTAACATGCAGCTTTAGGCAGATCACTGTCCAAGGATGACTTAGAGATAAATGGAATACGTACTTGTATTTAATAAGGGAAAAATGGCGATGAAACCCAAAAGATTTCTTTTTAATATGTTTTGGTTTGGTTTTGTTGAATGTGAGTTTATTCAATACACAGCAATATTCAGCTCTAGCATTCCAATCATGGTAACCTAAATGACCAATTAAAAATTTCTCATAAATTAATTCGATCAAAGTGTTCGAATGCAATAACAAAAGATCGCAAGATTTTCATAAACATTGTAATTTACTCCATACTTCCTTATGCATGCAGTTTCTTGATGAAAGAAACAGTGACGAAACAAAAGTTCACTTTAAGAGTAATGCTCAGCCTTTGTTTAAGAACAGTAAGGGACTACACAGAGATCTTACGTTGAAAATAGTTTGCATTGTGAGAAGGCTCCTGTCATAGCCGTCATAAACTGCAGAACCTCTATTTACAACTTTGCTTGACAACTACTCAATGTTGGTATCAGCTGTGACAGCTATGACATACACTGTACCCACCCATTGCAAGAGAAAGCTGAATCTAATGTTATATCTCACAGATTGTGATATCAGCTTTCCTGGCTGCAAATTTGTATCTGGTCATCACTGTACTATTACAAGAGATCCAGGTGGCACAGTTTGGCTTCAAGACTTTAGGTGACTCAGTAAATTGCTTTTAATTCCATGCAAACTTCTCACAGCAATGATCTATATACACTATTGCATGTGTTAAAACTTGTGTTAGTAACTTACAGCTTTTGTTTTCTTGTTAGTACCAATGGATCATTGTTGAATGGGAAGAAAATTGACAAAGAGAAGGTAATTATATAATAATAGTTTAATGAAGTCTGTATGCAAAATTTAAAATTACAGGAAGTGACTCAAATTATAAAGAGATAAAGAGATAGACAAATACTGTACATATAAAGTAAAGCCTTTATACAGGCCCAAGTGGCCCATGGGGCCAGCATTAAACTTTGGTTTCCTTTAGCATGAAGCAGCTAGGAGTATTGCTACTCCCCCCTGGATGGGATGCTAGTCCATCGCAGGGTTTACCCCCAGTATATTTTGCTGGTACCCATTTGTACACCTGGGTGAAGAGAAGCACTGTGAGAGTAAAGTGTCTTGCCTAAGAACACAACACAATGACCCCAGCCAGGGCTTGAACCTGGACCACTTGACCCAGAGTCGAGTTGACTAACCATGAGGCCACTGCGCTTCCACTCATTGTGCATACAGTCTGGGAAATAGACAGATCATGATGAACAGTTCGATAATCAATCATGTAAACAAAAACCATTAAATTTCACTTGGTATCTCAAATAGCTTTACTAGAAGTTGGAAGGTACATGTATTAACCCTTTACACCCTAACATCAGTATGCATATTCTTCATACTGTTTTCTATACATTTCCTAAGGTGCTGACAAGGAGAATTTGTTTATCAATCAAGAGAATATTTAGTTGGTGATCATTTCCTTTATTCTCATGACCTTACTGTGTGATGCAGGGGTTATACTGTTGGGAGAAGTTATATGCTAGTCACTCTCAGAGGTTAAAGGGTTAAAAGAAGAGTGCATAACCAATAAACAATACATGTAGATAAGCTTTGAAGATCAATTATGGTGAATGTCATTATATTGACAGTTAAATTATTGGTAGTAAATTCTGCCACATGGGAGGTCATGATGCTGAGATATGGTCCTCTGTTGTTTTCTCTGTCCTCCTGCGCATAACAAGAAAGAGGAAAGCGAAGAGACCTTGGAAATCAGGAGCCCTTACTTTTGTGTTTAATCAATTGAACAGAATTAATAACCTGTCACCTCACCCCTCTCTGCAGCCGCACACCCAACTGATTTATACATAACCTCTACATACACTCAGTCTGATATTATCATTATCATCAATTCATCATCATTTATTTATTTTCCTTTTTAACAATACAACATTTTTTTACAGCATTATAATTTATAGAAAGTGAAGAGACCCAGGTAGCCACTGGGCTTATGGGGGAGGGCCACCTGACTTACAACACAATAGTTAAAAAGGGAATAAGTGCTGCAAATGTGTGGTAAAAACTCTTGCAATTTCATTGTAAAGCTAAAAAGATTTGACGAACAAGTGACTGAAACAGGAAGAGAGTTCCAAATTTTAAGACCTTGGTAGAGAATTGCTTTAGATTTGTACAACATATCTAGTCATATTTTTCTTACCAGAGTTTGTAATCTGAGTGCATTAAAATTCATGACTTTAAAATCACCTTGTGTCCTGTATCCATGTAACTGTTAAAAATTTAAAATGGGACATTTTGGTTCGGTGGTTTGGGTGCAGGACTTGTAATTTGGAGCTTATGAATTTTAAGTCTCCCTCAAGTCTGTAATTGGGTGAATTCATTGCCTCAGGGCTTCATAATAGGTTATCTAATTAACAGCCCATTTCTACAAGTTATGATTTGTTTATTCCTTGTGTGTCTTGTATGTAACAACAATAATAGTTCATTTGTATATTGCACACATCCACTACTTGTTGGAGATGCTTTACAAAATTATCTCTAAATCCACAACTTCACTCTAAGAAACTTAGATAATAAAACTAGCTATAAACCTTAAAAGTAGAATGATATCCAATGAATTAAAAATGTAATGAAGAATCACTCTTAGTAAATTTAGTAAGAGGGAAGGTCTTGAGTGTTATCTTTAATGATAAAGCTGTACTAGATTTTCATAAATCCAAGGGAAGTGTTCCAAATCTTTGGAGTGTATACAGAGAAAGCTCGACCACCTTATGTTTTGGTTCCACAATTTGGCTATAGCAGCTTTTCTTGAAAGTTTTGAGCATAGATACCTAGAATATCAGTGGGTAATGTTTTTATCTGTATTAAATTTCCATTTTTGGGAACAAAGAACCCTCTATGCCACTACTCAGGTGATATGTAATACCCATCTTGGAAGCAAAGGTTCACTTGCTATTCAAGCCTTGATTACTTATTCTGTGAGGGCCTTACTTGGTGCAAATTAGGCTAATTGCAGTTTTTCTATGGGTATGCTTCTTGTCATTGAGTAATATGTATTTTGACACTTCAATGTAATGATGTAGTTAACGTGTGTACATTTGAAAAGATACAATTACAAGATAAAAAATGGAGGCCTTTAGACACTAAGATGGATATGTTGTGATTCAATTTTATTCTTGGTTCAAATTTTACTTTCTTTTGTTTTTGGGTATTGTAATGTATGATTATGATTTTGAAACAAAGGAAAATAAAACTTGAACCAAGGATAAAATTGAACCTCAACAGATACAACTGCAAGTTCTTGAGCTTGCAATTACAAATCTGAATTATTTTGAAGGGAAAATCACAGTTATTGTAGCCATCATAATACAACAACCCAACCCAACAACAAGTAACTGATAACAAGTTAGGGTTAATTTTGGTTTAGGGGAGGGGTAGGTGAACATTCGCTCAGATACGGACATTGATCTGGAAGTTTCATGAAAATGGAGAATTTTTAAAATCAAGTTATCAAGTTGAACCTGTTAGAAGTTTCATAGTTATTCAATGCGGGAAAGGCTTGAGTATGGTTGTTAACAACAACAATGCAAACTTTGTTGCATGTAACAACAATAGTAAAGCTCCACAAGGTATTATATGTTTGCATTAAGTATTTTTCTTTGACCTTGAAATCAAATCTTTTGCTTACTGTTGAACTTGTTAAATACTCAAGGTTTCTTGTGAACAAAGACCTGCAAAATCCTCAGCATGTTTAATTATATCTCTTTCATTTTATAGCAGAGGTGCAACTTTCATGCCTTCTTCATTTGGGGGTTTATTTGGATTTTCTTCTTTAATAAGGTTAGTTTAGAACAAATTAATTGTTTTTGGTTTTCACTATAATGGGTGAACAGATGGCATACAGTAGGTTATAAAAATAAGAAAATAGTACATGGCACAGAAAGAAGGTTGCAATAACACAGTAGTTGGAACCTGCATCAGGCCATGCAATTCTGAGTTATTTTTTGCATTGTAAAAAAACTACCTTTAACTTGAAGGATACTTCAAAATGTCACTATAAGACAAGAAAAAACTGTAGGAAAGGTAGGAATAAGCTAGGAAGGTGTAGGGAGGGTGAAGGATAAAGATGTGTTAAAAGGATCAACAACGGCAAACTTAAACTACATATAGTTCTTAATTTAAGTTTATTGTGAACACTCAGGTACTCCTTTAAGAAATGTAAGTTTGCATAAATGCTATGAAAACAGTCAAGCACCCTTTTTTCAGTTATCACATAAACTAAGCCATTTAGTTACATTTTCTTTTTAAGTTAACTGTTATGAATTTAACTCTTTTTATGAAGGTCTGTTCCAACAAACTGTCGTCTCTGTCCTGGATACATTTCCCCAACCACTTTGACAGCTATGGCCAGTACTGCTAGTGAAGGTGAGTGCAAGTTAATGAACATGGCATCAGGAATGAGATAGATACAGGGTAGGTCAATGCTGTTACTTAATTTTCCATTGCTTAATAGGGTGGCTTGGTATTTTGGAAGATGTTCCAATGTTTATCCCATGAGATGAGAAGCAACAGGAATATAGACTTTGTACCATGTTTTAGAGGTGTAAAAAACCGAACTCTCACCAGGTGTGCATGCAACACAGTTATACACAGTTCTATGATCTGGGAAATCAGGTTGTCAAAAAAACTGGTTCTGAAGAGGCCCAGGCTTGAATCAATGCTCTAAACTCAGATACTTTTTTATATTCCCTGGTTGTAATCAAATGAATGCTGAATCTTGTTCTTCATATGAATTCTAGTTTACTAATCTTGTTGAAAGGTGCATCAACAAGTGTGACACCACCTGACTACACATGTACTCCTGATCAGATCCACATCCTATGTCAGTGCTGTCTTCAGCCAATGCCACACAGATGGCCTGATTCAATGACAGCAAGTATTCCTGCCCAGAAGTGTAAGTTTATCTCTGTTTGAGTTGTTGAGATGTGTAAATGTTCTCCCTCTCAGGCAGTAACAGGTAAAATTTTACTGCCTGCAGTACTGCTACCTATATATAATCCTGCATGGAGAATTGAGCTCCTCTAGTGTTCCATTAACACATGTATCAGCTGTCTCCCACAGTGGTTAACCCTCTGCTCCCTAACATCAGTATCCTTATTCTCATTACTCTTCTCTACACATTTCATTTGGTACTGGCAAGGAGATTTTGTTTAACAATCAAAGCTTCTTAGATTGGTGTTCATTATCTTTATTTTCATGATCCTAATGAATGATTCAGCAGTACCACTCTATGGAGAAACTAGGTGCTGCTTACTCCTAGTGTTCAAAGAGTCAACGTGTGTTTTTTGTGGGAATATTGTTTTAGGTTCAGTTTGTCAAAAGGCATTTTGCCATTTGCTATGGGGCTGTCATGGAAGTGGCTGTTTGGGATGTCTCAATAAATTCAAAGGTAAAGAAAAGTAACCAAAATATGTTACAACTAAATTAAAGTGTGTATTTATTTGTGTCCTAAATTCTAACCACATTGTTTGAAAGAAGTAAGACAGGCACATACTGGTGCATGTATAGATTAGTGCATTAAAGTTTATTTCCCCAGACATTTGTTATTTATAGCCTTGTAATTATTATAATTATTATATTTTTAATTTGTGGCAGATTTCAATATTGGAGATAACACTTTCTTGGTAATAATCAACAACAATCCATATGAATCCAAAATACTTAAGGTAAGTTTTGAATAGTGCCATTATCCTTTAAAACAAGATGCATTTTTTTTAATCTTGCAGTTTATGAACCATGACTTGGTTTCAGCCCATGAAAATGCCAGGAGAACCACTTTTTTATTTTTCAGCAAATTTACCTGATGTGTAGTCTATGATATTGTCTTCTTTTTAAGTGATTCATTGTGTAATGTGTAATTTGCACAACGTAAGTAAATGAAGCAAAGAATTCTCTTTAGTGCTACCCTAAATTGTTTTTTTTAGAAATTTTTCTCTTTGAGGGACTTTTCCTCATGAAAAGGTATTTTTCATAACAGTTATCCAACACCAGCTCCTTGACGAATCCTCAATAATGAGACTCAGGCTGGAAAATTTTGACTCAATGAGTAAGAAATCTAACCCTTTCACTCCAAAATATAACTATCAATTCTCTGCATTAAATTAACGTTAATCCAACAATATCCCCTTGTTTAATTGGTCTTTCTTCTCAACACTTTGTATTTGAAATTGTAATGATATATTTAAGGAATATTCCCTTTTGGTCACACCTGTGAGTGAAAAGGCTAACACGTCAACATTTTCATTCTCGACAGGATTACTTAACCGAACAAAACATTTGTGAAAAAGACTTGTTACAGAAGTGTGTTCTAAAGCTGGACTCTAAAGAATACACGACAGTGGGTGGGTGGTGCGTTTTGTTTTTGATCTGAAGTAGAAGTGTAGAAGTGTCTATTAAGGTGTAGGAGGGATCTTCTCGTGAGGGAGAGGAGAAGGGGCGGTGGGAGAGGAGGAGGGGCGGTGGGAGAGATGGGTGTCCAGCGCTAGCGACCTTCTGGCGTTTGTAGGCAAGGGCTAAGTGCACTCCAGTCACTCCAGGATCCTTCTTCCCCCTCCCTCCTCCTTGCGGCTGTGCACTAGCTTAAAAGATGTTCTTGGGACTTAAAGCTTTTGCTTTCTTGTGCATTGCAGTCGATGTGAGACAGAAATCCATGGGAGACCAAGTTTGGTTCGGATTAGCGCAAGGTTCGAGTTAGCGCAGGTTAATGTTATTGGAAGTCAACTCAACTTAAACCTCAACACAAGTGAAGACTAAAGCATTCTTGGTTATTTTCTCCTATAGATGCAGCAAGCCATGATATCAACTCAGAAAGTGTGCTTTGTTACAGATGTGCATTGCGGAATTTCAAGGAGCTAGCGTATCAGTTTCGTCGTGACATACCAATGGATCAGCTACCAGGCAAGTATCCTAGGAGTCTGTCTTTATTTTTATCACTCTAATGATTACATGCAGGTGGGATTGGGAGACTCAAAGTTCGTTTACCAACAAAAAAAAAATTGGGACAAAGTTACAGAGACAAGATACCCATCGGTTAAACATATTCATAGGTGAAAACATGATAAAAATGGACGGAGCAGTCTATAACACAGCATGAGATTTAGAGCGCTTTTCGATGGAGTGTCGTAAAATCAAAACCAAAGCTATCCAGACAACCGGCCAGAAGAAAGGAAAAAACCTCAAGAGCCAATCCCAGCGATAAAGACGAGGTTGGTTTTAGTTTTGCATATGATTGGTTGAGAGAATGGTGGGAGTTTTCTGGACCAATCACAAAGCGATCTCGGATTACTCTCCACTCCCAATGGTAAATTGCTTTAATACACCGTCGAAGTACAAGCATGATCCATTAGCTGTCCAGTTGGAGCTGAAAACCAATTACGTTCTTGAATTTTGATATCGGTTAGATTACAGATGAAAACATTATGTTCAAGTCAAAGGTAACCCTTTGTGCGCATGTCCTTTCTGATCACAGAGACAGTGCATAGACGTGCTGATTGTTATTGGGGTAAACATTGCCGAACTCAGAGGACTAAACCACTTCATGCAAGGTAAGATTCTTGTTGGCAATAGTCATGCTAAGTTATGCTCTCGTTTCAGTGTCTGGTTGGAGGAAAAGTGTTGATATTCAGCGTACTCTGTGTTCTTTTTGTTTTCAGTCGCTTCAATCACATTTGTGAACAGACAAGATTTACATAGCTGACATTATCTTTATCAGCAAGAAGTTTGCCCAACAGTTTGCCAGTAACTATTACAGTAAATAATGCATGGTGCATCATGGACCACACTAATCAAAATGCAAACATATCCCAGCATACTTTTTCAAACTGATATTGTCTTCGAAATACCTCATTTGTGTGTTATTTAATGTTTATTTGAATAAAAAAGAGATGAACAATTTTTACAAATTTGGTCAAAATTCACTAAGTAATTATCAAATATGACAATGTTACATACTTATTTACAAAAGCTTTAAAAATGATGTTCCAAAAATTAAAATATTTGTTCCTTAAGACATGGTTGCTCACAAAAGTTTTCAAAAGACGATGAAATATAACGAACTCAAAGTTACAGACAACGCCCGGCTTTGAAGGTATTAAGCAATTAGAGAGATTAAAGACTTGGTCGCCCGCATTGACGATGATCTGTGGAATGTTAAAAGAGAATCCGAGTCAATGTGACGATTTTAAGTCAAACGAAAGTACAGGTAGTACTACAGTTAACACAATGCTAAATTATTGACAGGTAAATTTTTGGCATTTAATTTACTGAACAGCACTACACTTACTTCCGTATATTGTGTTACTGGCAAAACACCTTACGAGGTCTTGCGACAATGATTCAACTTAGGGAGCTTATAACATGCATTTTACAGTTTACTTATATTTTTCCACGGGAAACAGTGCTCGCCATAATAAGATGTAATGGGCGATGGTAAGGATATGGACACCTTAGACAGTTGAAAAAAAGATTGGGCGAGTACTTTGCAAAAGTACTAAAGCTGAAGGGTACACTGGCAATTCTAATTGTCTAACTGGTTTGTCACGTATATTTCATCACTTCGCACAGATGTGGACTGTTAAATATGTGCAATTGTATTTTACAAGTTCTCTTCTTCATACCCATTAGCTGGCTCAGTGAAGGCTTTTGAATTTGATTCAACATTCTTCATGGCTTCAAGATCTTTTGCTTTGACTGGAAAGTTTTCAACTTCAAGACATCCAGCGTTTTCCAATAGAGTGTCAAACCATGATGGTTGAAGGTCAAAATAATCTTTGCCTAGATAAAAGATAAATGAAGTTTTGTTTCATGATGGCAAGGCAGAGAATTTCGTTTCCACATAAAGATACCTGAGATTTTTAGCTTACTGAACCAAAAGTGGATTAATTTCAGCGAGACATTTATTCTAAACCGCCGCAAAAACCGTAACCTTGAGCACTCGATAAGGGAGCAAGCTAACTCTTTTCAATTTAAGCTACCTCCTCCGAAAAAGGGTTGATCTGACTGGATAAGCCACGGGTCTTGAATGCAGCAGAAATCATAACAGTTTGAGCTTAAACAAAGTTGGAAGTAGGGATATGTGTTGGTTTTTTTACGACTTTGGTTTTCTTGGAAAAGAAGTTCACCTCAATACCAGAGGAATCTGTGTTATATTTGTGTGATGTAACACCTCATTAAGTTGCTCATTTTATTAGAGTCAGGCGAGTACATTGCAAAAGTAAAGCTGAAGGGTACATCGACAATTCTAATTGGCTTAATTGGTTCGTCACTCTCAGAATACACTACTTCGCACAGATTTGGACCATCACTTATGAGAATCGTATTTTACAATTTTCCCTCTACAAACCTTTCTTTGTGGCTTCAAGATCTTTTGCTTTAACTGGAACATTTTCAACTTCAAGACATCCAGCGTTTTTTGATAGAGTGTCAAACCATGATGGTTGATGGTCAAAATAATCTTTGCCTAGATAAAAAATAATTAAAAAATCAAAGCCGATGTACGGAAGAACATGTTATCAATCGTAGGTATCTAGCTGTTTGTGACTCATAAGACTACACTGCTTTCGCGCAGATGTGGACTGTGGAGGAATCGTATTTTTCCTTCTTCGTACCTTTAGCTTGCTCAGTGACGGTCCTCGAATTTGATTTAACATTCCTTAAGGCTTCAAGATCTTTTGCTGTAACTGGAAAGTTTTCAACTTTGAAACATCCACCGTTGTTGGATGGAGTGTCAAACCATGATGGTTGAAAGTCAAAGTAAACTTTGCCTGGTTGAGAAAAAAAAACGAAAAAAAAGAAGAAGAAGAAGAAATGAAAATCAAAGTGCATGGAAGAACTCTTAATATAATCAAAAGATTATTGAAAAGTTGCCAGGGTAAAATTGTTCTTCTTGTCTTGAGGATGGAAAATGGTATTTACAAGTTGTGCCTTTAGAGAAATGGGAAACACTTTTAAGTCAGGCCCGTAAATGCTGATTTCGTTGATTTTGAGTATGTTTCATTTTCCTTAGCTTGTGAAAGAACCAATTTATTTTCAGTGATAGGTGATGTAGACCCCTCTTTCCTCTCCAATTACGTCCCCTAACGCTTTCCTGGAACATAAAATGAGTTCACAAAGACGAGGCCTTCGTATCAACCGCGTTGTCACCACTCAGTTGATACGACGCCATCCCACTTTGCATACTCACCATTAACCGTTTGTGGTTTGCTCCGGGACTCTTCTGCTTCTGTTTTATTCTTCTTGACAGTAAAATTAAGGCCCCCCTCGAGCTCGGCAATGTTCTTCTTTGCCTCCTGTAGCTTTTCGTCTATTGATGCCATGTGCTTGACAAAATCAGATTGAGTTGTTTGCACAGTTTGTTTTAGCTGGGACAGTTTTTCTTTAAGATCGGCAATGTCTTTGTCATTTTCAAAGAGAGTTTGCTTAAGAAAGCCAATCTCCTTCTCTTTAGCTGTTAAAACACAAATTAATGTTACAATTACTTATTATAAACGTTTGAACAAATTCAAGGTCTGAGCGATAAAGTTAACCGGGAAAACACAAAAGACGGAACTATGACGGAACGAGAAGCAGGAGGGTGGAGGGAGGGGGTAAACGACTTATTGTCAGTTGAGCATCGGCAACTCTTAGTAAAATGGCTTCCTAGTCCGCGCGCACTTTTCTTTTCATGCATGCGTGACCACATAAAACTAACCGTTAATCTCTGTTTCAAGGTAGATGATCTTCTGTGTTGCTTGTTCCTTTTCTCTTGCAGACTGGAAAAAAAAATTGCCAAAAATGGTATCTTTTTAATTAACGAAATAAGAAGAGAGCAAAAAAGCTGGGATAAGAAACATTATCAACTTGCAATCCCGCGTGAAGATAGTGGAATGTCGAAGAGTGGCGTCATAATCTTGGAATTTCATTTGCGCGCGCTTTTTCATCTCTCCACGAAGAAAAAGTTTTTTTAAACTCAGTTACCTGAACGCCTTTAATGCAGAAAAGTTCCAGTTGCGTTAAATGTTTCGTCAATGTTGGACAGACTTTGAAATGAGCTACTTTTGGAGGGAACCGTTTTACAATTGAAATTAACCAATTACGACCTATTTTCACAGCTTCTGTATTGAATCAGGTCTAGTTGCGCGTTTGTTGTGAAAATCACTTGAGCTTCTTTTTTTCATGCCCCTTCGGATAACAAATTGTAACTTCTAAAACAACTAAACGTACTTTTTTAACGAAAAAAAGGAGGTGTAATGATAGGAAACGCCCACCTCATTAGCCATGATTCGTGCCCCGTGTAAGGCCTCCAAAGGCTCATGATAATTCTCAGTAGAACGATTTGTGACATTGACTTCTTCATCAAAGATTCTCGTAGAACAGGATTTCCTAACCAAGTCTATGTCACCTGACTTGTTTTTGTTCATTTTGTAACTGATATCTTCAATCAAACCATTCGATAAACAAGAAAAATGCATTCTCTTTCACGGTGCTTTAGCATGAACCGAGCTCTTGATGCGAAAGAAAGTTTTGATTTGTTTATGACTAGTTGCATGGAAACGTGTTTATGCCGTCACTTCATGACATCACGCCGGATTTAAAGCATTAGGTCTGGGCAGTAGGATTTTCTTGAAGCGTTAACACCAGAGGTGGACATTAAAATGCTTTTATAACGTTAATGAATAACACGTAAAAATATCAGCAGACAACGACATACATATAACTTTTCTCAGCAGAAGTGAAATAATATTATTGCGCGGGTTTCCTAAGTCCAGAGCAAAATGTGCGAGCATTTGGTACATTGTTTAAAGAATGGCTACTCCGTGTTCAGAGAGCAAGCGATTATGAATGCAAAGACTCCGAAAACAAGTAAGGGTGATGGCTTATCCGGCTAGCAATTTGAATTTTTGCCATTTTACTGCTAACGGTTGGTTTCTTTGCACTGTTTTAAAGTGAAATTTTTACGGTTAACTTTTTTTAACGACTAACGGCTAAAATTCGCCGATTTCATGCGCCTAACAGCTATTTTTTTTGCCGTTTTACTTCGATTAAGTGCCTTCCTTGCAATAATCTCCCCTTGTTTTTTAGGCCGAAATTTGAAGAAGCATCCGGGCACCTATTCGAGGAAACACGGTAACTAATTTAGTTTGACCAGAAACTCAGAAATGGCCCTTTGCTTAAAACGAAAAGAATGCCAGTATTTAAAGGAAAGTAAAAATTTGTAAGTGAAAACGAAGAAAGAGTTTCATCCTATGTAAGGGCCTGTCTACATAGAGGTGAGGGACCCCAGATAGGTGATGTAACCCGTCTAGCAGATTCTATTTTACTGAAAGCAGAAAAGGGATAAGGGTTTAGTCTTTCTCTTCGACATAGGTGAAGTTTTGTGAGAGTACGCTGAACATATCTTCGGACCGAGTAAGCCTCCTGTACAACTACGCGGGAATTGCTGCGTCCTTCCGCAACCACTTCTTTTTTAAGGTCAGCGGGTTCAAATTCAAGTTTTTTAGGCATCTTTGAACTCTACCAACTAGCAACGAGATGGTTTTGTATTTGCTTGCTTCTGTTACCCTTAGTTGGATCCTACGACGCTATGGTGGCGTTTTCAGTCGTGTTTGTGCTCATGGACGTTCACCTTTAGGGCTTAATGCGTCTTGTTGTACTGGAATGTGTAGGTTTTAAAAGAACAGAGGAAGTCTGCGGCTTTCTTGCCATTAGCGTCAGACTTGCATCGTATATTAGACCAGTCATCATAGGTAAATAGTATTTTGTGGATAAGAGTAGTTTTTAGTCGACTGCTAGCCTTTATTATTCAGAGCGCTGCAAGACACACGCTTCTCCGCCTGCTGGAATATTTGAGACGAGTCGGGAAGAAGTTTGTTTTTCCTGGAGTCAAGCACTAATAATTAGGTTTAAATCATGCCTTGTTTATCTCATGCAAAGTACAGAGGGAAAAAGTAAGAAAAAACCATGCAGAACGGAAAATACTTTGTTTCTCAGGCTTTGTATTCAAACAATTACAACAACAACAAGAATAACAATTTATTCAAATAGTTGTTTTTTGATTGGGTTAGATGTCATTTCAGAACATAATACTCCTTTTATTTCTCTGCTTTGGTGCTCTCTGTTTTTCGAGAAAGGCCCCGTGGCCCAATGGATAAGGCATCTGACTACGAATCAGGGGATTCCAGGTTCGAATCCTGGCGGGGTCGCTGTTATTTTAAGTAAATAAACTTTTTAGCCACTGGATTTCTTTTATCATTTTAATCATCTTTCACAAGGTTAGAAAACCAGATACTACGTGTGGGGCGTAGTTATGTTTTCTAGAGTAGCATTGCTGCGTTTGCTATCAAAAAGCATGGAATGGTTATTCAATATTCTCCGGCTTCTATAAAATGTCATCCTTTAGTAAAATGTAGCCACCCCCGGTCCAGTTATGATGCTTGTCACGTTTGCTTGTTTTCCCAACTTATTATTGAAAGTCAGCTTAATGTAAACTCAACAACTGAAGGCTAAGGCATTCGTTCTTATTTTCTTCTATAGATGCAGCATGCCATGATATCAACTCGGAATGTGTGCTCTGTTACAGATGTGCATTGCCGAATTTCAAGGAGCTAGCGTATCAGTTTCGTCGTGAAGGCAAGGCAAGTATTCCAAGAGTCTGATTTTTTCATAACTGTAATGATTACATGCTGGCAGGATTGGGAGACTCAGAGTTCGGTTACGAACTTAACAAAACTAGGACAAAACTAAAGTCAAGATACCCATCGGCTAAACGTATTCATAAGTGAAAACATGATGAAAATTAACGGAGCAGTCTGTCACATAGCATGCGATCTAAAGCGCTTTTCGATTGAGTGTCGTGAAACCAAGACCAAAGTAACCCAGAAGGCCAATCAGAAGAAAGGAGAAAACCTTTATAGCCAATGAGAACATAAAGTAATAGTAATCAAACGGCCTGAAGCGTGGGAAAGCGCGGACGACCATTTCGTGATTGATTTTAGTTTTGCATCTGATTGGTTGAAAGAATGGTGCGAGTTTTCAGGACCAATCACAAAGCGATGTCAGTTACTTTCGACACTCAACTTTAAAGGTAAATTGTTTTCATACACCGTCGAAATACAAACATGATACGTCAGCTTTCCAGTTGGTGCTGAAAACTAATTACGCTCTAGAAGTTGATATCGGTTTGATGACAGATGAGAACATTTTGTCAAACCCAAAGATAACTCTTTGTGCGCATGTCCTTTCTTATCAGAGAGACATTGCAGAGACGTGCTGATTGATGTTGGGGTAAAAATTGCCGAACTGAGAGGACCAAGCCACTTCATGCAAGGTAAGGCTCTTGTTGGCAATAGTCATGCTAAGTTATGCTCCCATTTCAATGTTTGTTTCAGTGTTTGAGGAAAAAGTGTCGACATTCAGCGTACTCTGTGTTCTTTTGTGAACAGACAAAATTTACATAGCTGAGATTATCTTCATCAGCACGAAGTTTGCCTAACAGTTTGCCAGTACCCTTTACAGTGAATAATGCATGGTGCATCATGGACCACGCT